GATAAACACACACCTACACACATAACGTAAGCTGCCAGGGACTGTGGTGATGAGTCTGTGCATTTGAGTGTCAGCTCACAGGGGACACATTCACTCCTGTTGAGATGGGAGATTGATTTCTTGCACTCACTTGTTCCTCTGCCCCTCGACGACAATTTCCCCTTCTGTAACTGTTTGCAGTAATAACTCCCACAACGCTAAATGAATGCTCTTTCTTTTTCTTCCAGGCATGCATATATAGGTTAACCCCAATGTGTTCATCAGATCTGTTATCTCAGAGATTCATTGACTAGAGGATTTCTAACTTTCTATTTCTTTGTTGTTTTTTTAAACCTAGGAGATTTACTATCATTACAAAGTACACATCAGACCTACCAGAAGACACTGGCGTAGATCCAAGATGGCGCCCTCCATCCATCCGTTCTTGATAAGCCTTTCCCTGGCCATTCTCCTGGGACTGACCTCTTTCGGGGGACTGAACTCTTGGCCCTCAGGTCAAGTTTTGGCGCAGGTTCCTACGGACAACCAGACGACAGAGCCCTCTACGATACCTGAGGCCGCGCTGGCAACGCCGACACCGGAAGCGGAGGACAAAACGGTTCCGTCGAACGGTGGCCGTTGCTGGGGTTACTACGACGTCATGGGCCAGTGGGACCCGCCCTTCAACTGTAACGTTGGTGTCTACCTGTCCTGTTGCGGCTCCTGCTTCTACCGCTTCTGCTGCCAGTTCAAAATCCACAGTTTGGACCAGACTGCCTGTTCCAACTATGACACGCCGGTCTGGGCGAACACCGGGAAGCCGTCAGAACCCGTCACCGAGGTCCGAGAGGAGCCGGACAGAGATCAGACCCACATGATCGTTTATATTATTTGTGGAGTGGTGGCCATCATGGTGTTGGTCGGGATTTTCACCAAACTCGGGCTGGAGAAGAGTCAAGGAGGACAGACCGACATGACCAACTCCAGGTATGAAGTGAGAACGGCGGATTGATGGTTGGGTGGATGATGTTGGCCAATGATGATAGTGGTTTCGCTAACCACATCATCCATCTGATGTTGATATATTTAATTCAAATATAGGATTATCTTGACTGGGAGAAATAGTCCCTGTTGCCTAGGAGTCATTCAATTGAAGAACATACTGTATGTGTACTGTAAGAAGCTTTCTGTAGTTTGTACATTTATTCTTTACGATACATTTTTTCGTAATCTTCCTAGATTTGTTTGCAACAATGCAAAAAAACAATGGTTCTTAAATAAAAAGGCCACCTCCCAAGCTTTTTCCAGCAATAACTATCTAATGAAGCTTAGCCAAACTTGGGAGGCTAGCAACCTGCAGACAAATTTCGTGTCAACTTTCGTGTGGGGCACATTTGTAATCTGTTATTACAGGCTAACTTACATAGACCCTCCATTAAAGTACAACAACAAATAAGTGGGAGCCCCACATTTTCAAAGTGTTCCTGGGGTTTGTTACCATTATGTACTTGGTAAATTAAAATAGCATTCCTTTGTACTGCTCATTACTGGAAACATTAATTTCACTAATGATATTTGTTACTGAATAATGCATTACTGCCCAACCAATACAGAAAAACGAAACAAATCTGCTCTGCTTCTCCGCTGCAGCACACAGTGGTTATGCATGTACCTGTGTGAAAGCCTGCCTGTGGTGTCGGCCTGCGTGTTTCTGCTGATGTGTGAGAAGGTCACCGGCTGGGCTGTGAGTCAGGCGCCTGAATCACAGCGAGGCGATAATTTGTGAGACTTTTGCATGCAACCACGAGGGAGCAATGGACGTAGTAATGGAGGAGAGGGAGGGAACCTGATGGAGGTCAGGCGGTGGGACGGAGATCCCGAAGGACAGATGTCGGGTGATAGTAATGGAGGAGTTTGGGGGGGATTACAGTGTGGTTGTGTTGTGTTGTCTCCCGCATTGATAGGTGATTGATTACTGTGACACAACTATGACTGTGGCAAAGCGCGGCCTCCAGTGAACAACGAGAAGAGAGGCGTTTTTTTTTGGGAGGGTGGAATATTGAGCTGATCCGACTGGAATGCAGCCAACGGCTAATTCTAGTACCCAGAATAGGGGTGTGTATTTTTGTTTGTGTGAGGGAGGGGGGGGAAAGGGAGAGGAAGATGAGGGGGATGGTGTGTGTGTGTATGTTTGTGTGTCAGACCACGGGGGTTACTTTAAAATCCTGTCATTACCTGATCTCCTCCACCTCCCAGGGGGGTATGAGAGGTGGAGGATGATGGCGGTGGACATCAGGACTTGTTAGTGTTACACTGCAATGAGCCAACCATAACACAATGAAAGCTGGCACCTCTTCGCGCATGTTCTCCCCTGAATCAAACAATTATGCATGAGGCTTTATACTTGAATCAAGGGCTTGTTTTGGAGATATTTTCTGAAATGTGGTTGTCTGTCTGTCCTCACCACCTCCAGGTCAGTGTGTCAAAAGATATTCTGCATATGTCTTGAAGTTTCTCCGAAGTGACATCTTGTTTCCTCCGATCAGCAGGACAGATGTTGGCAGGCTGAAGTGTCCCCGGAGCAAGACACTGAAACTCTGCTGTCTTGACCGTTCACTTTGACCTTCCTGGTAGAATGTAGTTACTTCTTTCCCCCAATGGAAGTAAATAAGATCCTTTTAAATCAAGTAAATGAGCAAGTGTATGCCAAACTAGAAGGGCACTCGGGCTCCACCAAGGTCGTTTCCATAATATAAAATAATGCCTGTACTGTATGTGCTTTGTTATTTGGATCCGATCCAGAATTTGAATGAGTTTTTCCTCGCCCCATGCTCAAGTACATCCTTCCATCAAGTTCCTGGAAAATTGGTCTATGAGTCTTTTTTTCGTAAAGCTTTTAAAAACAGACCAACATACAGAACTGAAAACACGACCTTGGTAATGGATGAATGCAAATACATTTTAGAGAGTTATTTGAGCAATCATGTGTAGAGGACACTTTCAATTGAGCAATCAAAGGAAAACACAAGTCCATTTTTATTTCTGTTTGTAAATTAGAAAATACCTGCCCCAGTGCTTTGATTGAATTCACTGGACAAACAAGTTAAAGAATAATGAAAACCAGTTGTTTTCACTTGAAATAATTTGAAAAATCTGCCAATAGAACAAGTGAAAATTAGCTTGGTAAGATTTCTTGGAATAAAATGGGATATTTATTTAAATCAGATCTTGTAATTAGCTAGCTTTGAACTATATTTGACCAGAATCAGGAAATGCTGTGTTACAATATAAGCCGCAAATACTCAATAGTGTTCTGTTTTCTGATGTTAGTTGGTGATTTTCCAATAAATATGTAAAAAAACAAAAATGTAATCGGAGATACAACTCAAAATAGGATTATTTGATTTAACAAGATGATACATTGTCTAAAAACAAGAGCCTATATCTCACTGCATTGTTACTTCTGAAGTTAATATGTCTTATAGCAATTGCAAAGGTATATTCTGACTAGATACTGGGCAAGATTTCAAATTCTTGTAGTGTTTTTGATAGAATTGTGACAGAAAAGAGGTCACAACTCTTCTCGAAAAACATCTTTGTCAGAGGCTTGTCAAAAAGGAATTGGTATTGTCTTTCAGGGCCAATCACATTCCCAATCTGGCTGAAGGACAGGGGGAGCCCAGTAATGGACAATGGTAACTATAAACTAATTAATTGCATCTACTTAAAGCAATGCCTACATCTTAACAGGTTTTATATTAGTACACAATTTAAACATTTCCCCCATCCAAGCCATTACACAATGTTAATGAAAATAACATCCTTTGAATCGGCTGATAGCAACCGGAACGTTCTCTGTGCGTTTAGAAAAAAACAGTTATCGGATCAAGTGAACTTGAGTGAGAAAGGTTTTTTAGTGGCTGATAAATGGATGGAAACTATCTTAAGAGACGGGAAAAACTGTCCTTTAGTTAGTCTATGCTCCTCAGGTCATATTTCTGTCATTTATTCCTATCATAATTGTCTTTTCAAAAAAATCTAAATTGTCTCAGCACTGTTTTCCGGTGTTTGGGGCTAAACACAGATCTTGGAGGCAGCACTTTACACGCACTCTGTGATAGGCACACAAAGAAGCAGTTGAAAATGTGCCATATTAAAAAACAAAACAATGTTAGGACAATGTTATCTCAAGCTTTAGGACAAACAGAAAAGGAGATAGTGTGAAAAACAATGCAAAAAAGATTAGAAATTCGTTGAGGTCTTTATGTTTTAAAGAGTAATATAACCTCCAAATTGTTAAATGAATTGCCTAAACTATAAATGACAAGTAACTGAATTAAGTTTGAGACCACAATTATAAAAATGTCTTGGATATAGCCTGATTTTGCCTGAGAGAGACAAACACACAGCCAGTTTCTCCGTAGCCTGGAGGAGCCCTGGTGAAATTGTTTATCGTATTCTAACATTCATTCTCAACCTGCATACATTGACTGCACTTTCACTGTGTGCGGGAAAGTGCAATGGGTGTGTGTGTGTCCACATGTGTGTGTGGGTGTGTCAGTGTTTCCACATGTGTGTGTGGGTGTGTCTGTGTGTGCACTGAAGGAATAAATCCAGCCACAAAGCTGTTAAGGTGGTAATGCGCTGAAACCCCGGGTCAGGCAATCACAACAACCAGCAGTGCAATGATGTATAGCACACAACACACACACACACACACACACACACACACACACACACACACACACACACACACATACACACACAGTGTATTCCTGCCTTGGTTCTCAGTTATGTGAAAGTGCTATGGGATTCAGTGTTGATGTAGTATTTCAAACAGTGACATTCTTACTCTTGTCTTTTTGTCTTTCTTCTCTCCCTTCATTGCATGGACTTAAATCCTCTCCTTTACCTTAACCTCCATCTTTTCCATCTGAATTTTTCCCATATATTTATTTGATCCATTTACTCAATAATCCATTCTTTAACCCGACCAACGACACCCCAAATCCTCCCCTCAGCACACCACCTCTCCCCCCAGGCTCTCAAATGGAGGGAGTACCGTCGTCGAAACCCCCTGGGTCTGGAGAGGGCGGTCTCAGAAGGCTACTCTTCTGCAGGATCAGACCCCCTCTCCGATCACCTGCAACCCAGAAAGGGCGGGGGACCACGCCCTGCCCGGCGGAACGTGTTTGACTTCCCTTCAGCCCCATCTGGCCACGCGCTGGGACGCCTTCATGGTGCTCAGGATTTCCCTGTTGGAACTGATTATAGGATATTTTAAGAGTAGACTTGAATACTTAATATTTGTAGTATTTCTGACAGAGTTCAAGGTGCAAAGAATGCATTGTCTGAGGGAAAAGTCACAGGAATAATATTACCCAGGGTTCCTTAGAGAAAAAATATGTTAGAGGTTCTTGAAGGTGTTCCTTAAAGTCTCACCTGCAGTTGCAAAAAGGATACCAAACAGCTGTTCTTGCTTCCTAAAGAGGCGCTGTGTGTTAATGTGTCTAATCACCTGCGTGTGTGTGTCTCAGCAGTGGGCCAATCAGCCAAGCTGCAGCAGATCTACAGCGACTTCCTGCCGGACTATTTCTCCATGACCGAGAGGCCCCCGGAGGAGTTCTGCCTCTCCCCCGACGCCTCATCTTCCTCCTCTTCTGGCACTTCCTCACACTCCCACATCTCTGTGGACCTGACGAAGAAGAGATGTGAGTGTGTGTTCATATGTGCATATCGACAATGACAGTGGGAATCAACGAGGAGTGTTTTAATACTTTATTGCAAAACGACTTGATGTCCAAGTGTTCACCATTTTTCTTGGTGCTCATTGCATTCATTTACTACCTCATCTGATGTAAAACATTTTGTGTTTTCTTTAAGAACTTTGTTTTAACAGACACAGTACAAATGACATGAGGAGATGTTTACACAATTACACTAGTGTGTTTGTTTTGTTTTTAAAAAGTATTATGTGTTAAATGCCTATGTGAAGCACTTTAAATTGCCTCTGTGCCTTAAAATGTGCTATACAAATAAACTAACCTTAAAACTAACACTAGATGCATTTATTTTATGGACATTAATAGGACATAGATCTTTATTGGATTAAGCACAATCATCATATTTCCTTAAAGTCAATTAATTGACTATACAATAACTGTAATATTAGATTAACAATATATATTCAAGTACAATCTAAATCCCCAAAAATAAAATAAAACAAGGGAAAATAAAATAAAAACAACTAAATAATTTTTTTTCAAAAAGCTCTTTATTTTTCTCATACTGCCTGTGCTGCAGCACCTCTTTTCACCCTCTGTCTGAAACCAGAGCCCAGTCTGTTGTGATTGGTCAACTGCTTCGAAATGTCCCGCCGCTTGGGCTGTCACGTACAGTATGTTGGAGTGCTAGCAAATAGAAGCGCAATTCTTATGTAGTGATGTCACTAAGTCACGGAAGTACACACAGGAGGCGAATGGAGGCGTTTCAGGCAGGAGGTAGTGTTTGGGAGAGAAACTCCTTCAAGAAGGAACTTTGAGATTTGATTCTCTGTAGAACATTTACATGCTCAAAAACCTTATGACACATTACAGAAAGGGAAAACCCTAAAAAGTATTGGACTTCCTATTATAGCATAACATTATTCATGTAGCTGAATGTGTAGTATTAAAGAAGATGAACATAGAGACAGGTTCAAGAAAACAAGATTTCATCACAATACTTGTTATTGAGGCAATGAGCCACATCTTTTTTCAGCCTTTCACAGTGTGAAGAGCTGCTATGTTGTCATGGAGATAATAACAGATGAGGACATGATAACAGGTTATTAAGTGATGTTCTCCCGATGCAGCTAAACACAACTGTTTCTAGTGTGTAACATAACATATCAAAGAAAATAATACTGCAGGTAAAATTCTCACATTACAGTTTGGAACATTTTTCAGAGCATGCAGGGTTGTTGACAAGTACAACAGCGAGTGAAATGATGTAGTTGAATCAAGTGCCTCTCACTGCAGTAATTTGAGGCCTCTTGAAGCAGCACGGGGCATCACATAATGAGCAGGGAGATCATCTTTCAGCTGTATCACCCAGGTTTACCTTCTTGAAGGGAACAACCTCTACACTGCTGAGTGTACTAGTGAGGGAACCAAGAGCCAGATTTACGGAGCCTCGTCACCTGTTTCACATACATTGTGTCCAGCGTTTTGAGGGTCACTTCTAAAATGTATTCTGTTACAATTACTAGTTACCTTTTTAAAAAATCTGATCGGTAACCTAATCTAAATATATCACAGTATAAAAGTAATGTAACCTGATTAGTTTCCGTTTTAACCACCTCAATGTTAAATGCAATGCAAAGAAATACAAGAGAAAAAAAAATACTTAAGTGTATTACGTAAAGGGAAAACCACAAAAATCTTTATAGGGACCCTTTAATGCCAAATCATAATGCAAAAGATAAATGAAGTGACATTAATTGCAAAAGCCATTATTTGTAGTAAAAAAGGATAACTTCTTAATTATTTTCTCCTTGCCAGGTTCGGTAAAAGCTGTGAACACAGCAGTGGATCTGATTGTGGCACACTTCGGCACCAGTCGAGACCCAGATGTAAAGGTAAGAGTTTTTTATGGATCAGATTGATGGCTACCTATAACTCATTTAACATCTAATACACAAGATAAGTTAAGATAATAACAGAAATGTAAATCTTTCATCACACATCTTGCCTCCCAATCCCCTAATTTGTCATCTTCTTCATCATTTGTTTCCCTGCCAGGCTAAGCTGGGGAACAGCTGGGTGAGTCCCAATGTGGGTCACCTGATCCTGAAGTACCTGTGCCCGGCGCTGCACGAGGTGCTGCAGGACGGTCTGAAGGCCTACGTCCTGGACCTGATCATCGGACAGCGGCGCTGTCAGCCCTGGAGCCTGGTGGAGGCCTCCACACAGCTGGGTGAGAACATCAGCAAAAACATGAAACATTAGCAAGGACACATGTAATGCTAAATGGCTGCTGAAATAACACAAACCTGCAAAATCCATACATTCTTTAGCTTCTTTCAGTCTATAGATATATTCAAATATAAGACTTAAAGAACATCTTGATTTTAGTATCTCCTTTTTATTTTAGGAATCATTGAAATAGAAAGGGTTGGGAGGGTTACTTTAAAAATTAAGTCTGTTCCATTTACTAATTACCTGTAAAAAAGAAATGTAATCAGTTACCTAATCTAAGTAGAAAAATATAAAAAGTAATGATTACTTTTGGTTACTTTGGATTACCTCAATGTCAAATGCAAAGAAATTAAATACTAGAGAAAATGAATATCCAAAACAAAGTATTTTTTTACATGGTTTTTATATGCTAGAAAACAGAACGATGTAGCCTTAGATAGGAAGAAACCAATATATTAAGTATGAAAAATGTGTCCACTGTGTCCTCCTTTTACCTGAAACAGAATAAGACATTTTTAGTTTAACACAGTATATGAATTGAGAGCACCCACTGTATTTCTAACAAACAAGGTGTTGATATATTGTGATTTTAAGGGTGATTTCAAGGGTGTCTATTACCATCTTGCCGGGGACAACAGCTGGAAATTAGCCATGTCGGCTAAAGCTGCTCCATTTACTGTTTTTGTGACAGTTCATCGATGGGGACTGTCCACGACACTATAAATAAATAAACTAAACTAAACTAAACCTACAGAACTGTCAACAAGACAATTAAACAGGCTATAACAGGCTCAAATTATAGAAGGGGCCTACAGAATAATATAGTTGTTTTAAGTTTAATACATGAATTAAAAGCATACACAATATTTTTGTTTTAGAATGTAGGTTTCCAGTTACCGCACTTACAAAATGGTTGTAATGTGAAAAAATGTGCTTCCTAATATATATGTATTTATTTTAAAATGTATTGTAACATTGTAACCCTGCTAGTTATCAACCCTTTAAAATTGTGCTAGTAATCTGATTACATCTTATTTTATGTGGGTGTCAGGGAATACAGCTATGTTTTTTTTCTCTCCTGATTACTTTATCCCGTTACATTGTTTTCCATTTTTCCCCAAGCCTGGTCTTAGGTTAATGCTAGGCCGCACCTGAAAATATACAAAAACTGTGTTGCTCATTTTAACCTTTAGGTGGCGCCTCTGTTTTGGAGTGTAGACAGTTTGACAGAGAACCAAAAGGTGCCTATGGGTGACATGTAACAAGAAGATGTTCTGTATGTGTGTTTCAATCAGGCCCGTCCACACGGGTTCTCCACAGCCTGTTCTCCAAGGTGAGCCAGTTCTCTGAGCTCACAAGCCACAGCATGAGACTCAACGCCTTCATCTTCGGCCTGCTCAAGTGAGTCACTCTTTCTCATCATAGTATTTCCTGTCATGGTCCTATTCTTTATACATATATTCTATAGCAACAATGGCTCTCATCCTAGGGGACAGAATATTTACATGACTGGTTTAAGACCAAAAGTAGAGCTAAACGAAAGTGCTTGCTTCAATTTTCCCGAAAATCAGTTATTGCAAGTCTAACATTGAGATTGCTGTTATGTTTTGGTCTCAAGTTAAGATACATGCTTTGGTTCATACTGTGATTTTGAATAAGTGGTTAGCCATGTGGGGACCTGCTTCATATCCCGGGATAAAAGTGTGATCTCCACAAAGGTTCAAGGACAAGTACATTAAACACACACACACACACACACACACACACACACACACACACACACACACACACACACACACACACACACACACACTTTATCCAGATCGCGGGGTTTGACCATTTACCGTTCATAGACTCAAAAGTTTAAAAGTGTTGATTTCTCATTCTAAGTCTCACTTATATTGTAGGATAAAAGCCGTACTTTTAGATAAATATGGTTTTAATTTGTTCTACCATGTCGGGACTAAATGAAACTGTGATTTTAAAACTTTATTTCCTTATATTTCAGCCTAAAATCTTTGGAATTCTGGTTCAATCACCTCTACACACATGAAGGTAATACTTAACTTGTACATCATTTAATTATTTTTAGATAGTTCTTTGATGTTTAAGTGTATGAAGTCAGTGGTTAGGTTTTAGGGTATTTGGTTAGTGTTACTGTGTCTTTTAGCTAGCCTTGTTTTTGTATAATACATGAACTCTCTAATTCCAGATGTTTCAATAATATATATTGTATATACTTTTATTTTAATGTCCGGCCCCTATTCTAAAGCTTCAGATTATCAGGGTATCCCATTTCACATATTTTCAAGTTTTATGATTGTACCTGTATTTAATTGTGGATAAAATGATTTGAATTCCTCTGAATCTTGTACCTTTTTTAAATTGATATTCCTCAGATATAATAGCAGCACACTACCAGCCTTGGGGTTTCCTCCCCCTGTCGCAGGGGGCGTGCCGGCCTCTCTTTGAGGAGCTCCTCCTCCTGCTGCAGCCGCTGTCGCTCCTCCCGTTCGACCTGGACCTGCTCTTCGAACCCCACCTCCTCCAAAAGGGCAAGGAGCACCTCCGTCGCAAAGAGCAGCTGTGCTCTGCGGGACAGAGTGTCGACCAATCCACGCGTTCAACCTTCCAGCTCATGAGAGGATGGAGCACTACCGTGAGCGAGATGGTCCGAGACTCAAGCGTAGAGGTGAAGAAAGAGAGGGCAGGGCTGAGACGGGAGGGGACGTGGCCGAGGATGGAAGGGGTCGGGGCGAGGAGGGAGGCAGCGGGAGATAAACTCAGAGTGAGGAGCGAGGCGGCAACGACGGATAGCATGACATCCGGGACTGTTAGTAACTCGGCCATAATGGAAGACGGGTTCGCTAATCTCTGGAAGGAGAGGGGGATGAGTGGAGAGAGAATGAAAGGCGTTGGACAAGAGAGCCAAGGAGAAGGTGAGGAGATAAACAGGAGGAAAGAAAAAGAGAGCGATATGGCTGACGAGGGGCGTCAGCGGCAGGAAAGACAAGCGGGATGGTGGTACCAGCTCATGCAGTCCTCCCAGGTTTACATCGACCAATCCGCAGAGGGGTCCAAGTTTGTTAAGACCGAGAAAAGAAAGAAGTCATCAGAAAGAAGACCGAATCAGCTGCCCCCCACCAGAGAGGGAGTGGTGGAGGGGGCCGAGTCCAGCCAAGAAGTGGAGGGCCGTATAAGCAGCAGTAGCTCCAGTGGGGAGTCGGCCGGATCCAGGAAGAAGCCCTCATGGATGGGCAGCCCACCCGACTCTGTTCTCAACCAGGAGAAAGAGACCAAACCTCTGGAGGCGACAGGGACTGGGGCTCAGGCTACAGCCCAGGAGGAGAGCCCATCCCAGGGTCTGCGCTGGGGGAGACTCTTTGGATCCACTCTTGGTTCTCCTTCCAGGGCGGTGGCGGCTGAACAGAAAGCAAAAACTAAAAAAAACAGGTAAGTAAAAAGGATAATCTTATGACAATCAATATTTTGTAAAAAAAAACAACAACAATTTATTCTATGAATGTGTGTGAATCTGGAGTATGATAAAATGAATCTAATTATTTCATTCTGGTGAAACATTTTGTGATCCTGCTCTGTGAGCTCCCCAAAATAGTCCCTTACTAAAATGCACTAATTTCAAATGTTTGAGGCACTGAGCCTTTAAAAAACAGAAAAAACATACTGTCTTTTTTTTTCTGTTTTAAGAGATATATATATTCAGTAGAAACTAAGGAACTTTGGGAAAACAGAAAGTATTAAGAGCGAGATTAACCCTTTGTTGGTTTGAGTCTTTTAATGGAATTTGATCCCTATAATATAAAAAACATGAATAACATCAGCCTTCTGGTTAAACCAAAACCAACCTTTATTTCAGCTATCAATACAATAACTGCTACATTTTTTCAAATTGTTTTTTTTCTCAGGCCTCCATCAGGATGGCTTTCTCTGGACAGATCTGTTTTTGACCTAGTAGCTCAGACGATTGGAACCGGTAGTGGGAAGAAGGCGGAGCCTCCGTCCACACAATCCTCACCTCCACCAACGTCAACCCCTCCTCCTGAAGCCAGACACAAGTGTCCATGGTGAGCAGAGAATAAACATCTTGCACTGTTTTCACACTTAAGGAGAGAGCTATAAGAAAAATGTAATACAAAACAACTTTTCAAGAACCTACTTATCAACCCACATTTATTCATTACGGTTCTTCAAATGTAAGGACCTGGTTTAAAAAACACAAAGCATGTAAATGCAGGCTTGCGGCGTCCTGGCAGACCTGGACAAATTCCACAGGTAGTTTCTCTCCCCCTGCCTGAAACACCTTGATTTGACTCCTTTGTTTACTTCCACTACATTATGACATCACTGCGTAAAATGTTTACGCTTGTTTTGGCTAGCGTTCCCACACATTGTACTTGATATGTTAAGGTACGGGACATATTTCAGAGGTTGACCAATCACAGCAGATGGGCTCTGGTTTTAGACAGAGGTTGAAAAGAGGTTCTGCAGCACAGGCAGTATGAGACAAATAAAGTCCTTTTGGAACAATAAAGCATTTAAACATGTCACAGTAGAGGTAACCTTCACATAAGATAACGAGACAGAGCAAATTTCAGAAATGAGAAGCTACAACAAAGGACCATTTGGTAGTAAGTTGCTTTAAAGATTGTCACCAGTCTAACAGATTTCCTCCATGCTGTGTCATCCCTCAGTGAAGTACGAGCGCTGTGTCACCACATCGCCACTGAGCCCGGACAGCTGAGCTTCAACAAAGGAGACATACTGCGGGTCCTGAGCAAGGCTGACCCAGACTGGCTTCTGTGCTCCCTGGGCTCCATTCAGGGCCTAGTCCCCATCATCTATGTCACCCTGAAGAGCATGGAGGACAGCCAGGAGGCCACCGGACTTGGGCGGTGCTGAATCAACGAGAGGAATTAATGCGATATATTTGGAGATAGACAGCCACACACCCAATAAAACAAAACCTGTTTTTTTACGGATAACTGTATATTTATTTGGGGTGATTCCTGAAAAGAAAATATGTACAGACACATGCAAGGGAAGCATGCAAGCTGAAAAACTTCAAGGGTACATCCTGACAAGTATGCATGCATACATCCATAAACCAAAAGCTGGACAAGAAAAACCCAAAGACACTCTGACGTGAAGCTAGCTTAACCGTGACTGTCCAGTGTCAAAATCATCATAGGAGAGGCTAATCACAGATATACACAATATGATAATATAACATGCCTAGCTGCACTCCGCTGTACTGTCTGTACGCTCACCTCGCTGTGCCACACTCATGTAGAAATCTGTTGATTCTTGCTTTTTTTTGGTAAGGTGGCTGTAAAAGAAAAAAAGTGTCTGCTTCAGTTGCATAGATTCACCATATTAGTATTCATATAAGCCAAGAAGAAAAGGAGGCAAACGTTGTAATGTTTTTTTAATTTTACATTATTTGATCAAAGCCTATATCATGACAAAGGGATAGAGAGCTTCATTTCCATACAATACTTACTACAGCTGTGATGAATTGATGGCTGATATTGTTTAAATGCATGTGACCTTAAAACAATCGTTATCCCTTCAATCTAGTTTCACCACAATCCCCCATCATCCAAGGACACTTCTGAAGAGCGAGTGGCTGCAGTCCGAGTGCATTCGATCTAACGGTACATACTGTAAATGCATATATGACTTCCACATGTGGTAATTTATTTATTTTTCAATAAGCAGAGAGGAGCATCCTGCAGAAAGACAGGGAAGGATGTCCAATGAAAGCAAAAGCATTGCTGAGGCCTTTTTTTTAATCTGTTAGGGATACAACCCTGAAAATGATTGCTAATTAGTTTTATGCGTTGCATTTAAAGAGGGGTAAAATATCTTATCTATGCCTTAAAGCGCTTGAGGAAAGAAAAGGGAGAATATACATTATATTTTGTATATGCTATGAAGTGACATTTCCCCCTGATTCTTTAGAAAGAAAAGTATAGAGATGATAGCGAGGGGATATTTTTGTGTCGTTTAAAGGGAAACCCCAACAAATTTTGTGATGGTGGTAAATGCCCAGGAATAAAATGCTGCCTTAGGTTACAAAGTCACCTAAAATGATGGTGAGTGTATACAGATGCCCAATCCAAATACTTCACAATATAAAATGGTTAAAAAAAATCAGTGTACATTTATTAAATAAAGGAATGCTTGTGTAGTTTTTGAAAAACTTACATAGGATACAATTGTTCCATTTAACATTTCTTTGTGTTCTTTTTTTGTACAGTCTTATTCTAAGCACTAAAAAAATGCATCCTACTGTATAATAAAATCCTTTAGAGCTACATGTATGAATGGTATTACTGGGTTAATGCATTTTATGTTAAATAAGGTTTAGCTTCTGTGCTAACAACCATAATGATAGCCGACATTGGAAAGTGTGAGGGTTATTTTGGGTTCTTCCATGCAGTTTGCTGTTCATTGACATCCCGTTCAGAGTTCACTTGGAAACAAATGCAGCAGTGAAAAAAAACAAACATGGAAGCTCAGGGGAAAGAGGTAAGAACAGATTGAGTTTTTATTTGGCATTTTCTTAGCTAAATTGCTGTGCTCTGCAGAGAGAAAGAAAGAAATAAGCCTTTGGCCATTTTCCTTTCTTTCTCTTGTTTTTTTTAATCTACTTTCTCTCTCCTCCCTGGCTGCCTGTAAATACCTCCAGCATCAATGACACTGCTCCTCTCTCTCTGTCCAGGCTATATGACGTGTATGTATGACATTATCAAACTAATATGGATGTTAAATAACAAAGTGCTCAACTGAAAAGGCTCCTGTCTTTTGTCCTTGAATGATGAAATGACTGTAAAAAGGTTTGTAGTTTGCTGATTAAAGAAATAGTGGATTACCAGAACATCTGTAGAACGATTTCAAGCATATTTTTTTGTAAAACACAATCCTTCCATTGGTCAAAATGTCTCTTTTCTAGGACACTTGTTAACGGGTGACCCTGAAAAAACCACTTAAAATAACTGCAAACTAGAATGTGAATTGAGAAGAACGCAGTGTTTGCACACTTCTATTTGTGTTGATTAAAAATGTATTTCTTAATAAACAGAAACAAACAGCTCTCCCTCAAATGTTCACAATTTGCGTTTGTTCTGATGTTGCAGCACAAGAATGAAGTTGAAGTTCATGAAGACAGCTAGCTAACGTCCAACCCAGTCTCACGGCATTTTGTGTCAGTCACGGCATTTCATCTATTGATTCGTGTTCACCAACACGATTTTCCCCTTTTTTTCTTATCACACAGAACGATTTTAAAAGCAATGTATTTCTATTGGTAGTATGTTTCGTGCCTGCAGCACGTCTTTTTGTCCGTTCGGGTCTTGGAAGACCGGAATCTGTGGGGTTCATAAAAACATGTTCTTACTCAATATCTTACCCTAAGCCTAACCCTTTTATTTTGTTGCTGTCGAAGCCACAATTATTGTTTTTATTTTAAATTGTAAAATGCCGGACTTTTTTTTCCGTCTGTGAGGAAAAGAAATGGGGCTCAGAGCCTCAGAATACTGAAATCTATATTTAAAAAAAAAAAAAAAATTCCTTCTAATTTGTTATTCTTTTCTAGATAACACACTGTTATTTAGTCAACAATAGCCACGTTCACACCGGAGTACTTTTCCCCGTACTTTTCCCCTTTAGTTCCGTTAGTACCCCTTATGTTGCGTTCACACCAAAAAGAGTACTTTTACCCCCATTTGTAGTGTTTGCTAAAGAGGTGGTACTATCCTGGGGAGGAAAAGTGCCCCAGTTCTGATTGGCTGTGCGAATTGCAAACCATGCCCCGTAAAACTCTGAAAAGTTTTGTGAAGCCGCCGTTGTATTTGTGGCATTAGCATTATTAGCATTAGCCCCGCGCACCAACGGAGAGAGAATAACTTATGGCAACACAAAAAAAAACATGGGAGCGGTGG